AGTTCAACTGTAAAGTTTATATTGGTCCAAGTATTCATCTGTTCAAGTGGAAAGAAATGTCTGTATATAAAACGAGAATTTTAAAGACCACTAGAGCAAAGCACTAATTGCATTTATTGAAATCACTTCTTATTGAGCTTAATTGGAAACTCCAAGCCAACTCCTGAGATCTTACGGTTTAAGTTTTTGAGATAATGTCATTGAGTCAGTCGGTGAGAAGTATTGCCTATCATAAGCAAGTGGCTCAATCGTCAGCGCAACGGTCTTCGATAAACCATCAATGATGTCGGTTCACGTCGTGATGAGCGGCTACTAAAATGTATAAGTAAAGTTCACTAATTTAATAAAAAAAGTATATTCAATGGTTAATTGATGTAATATACCAATTTAACACATTGACTTGCTTGATACGTTCTTACAAAGGTCAGAGGCCTACGTAAACGTGCAAGGATTAAAAAGGCTAACATTGACTCTGTGAACTGCCTCTGAAATAGAGATCTCCACCTACTTATCTCCACCTACCATTGGATAAAATTCTCTTAGACTGCTGATCAATTGCAATAATTCACGCAGAATAAACCATATATATCTAAATAAAACCATTTATTTATATGTAGTTGCTATACCTTGAATACATCGACTTAGGAACAACAGAATAAATGACGAATAGTGTTATTACTTGGTCTCTGTAAAAATTAATTAGGTTACAACATTTCGGGTATTCAAAGACAAATAAACCATTTGACACTAACAAACGTGGTCAAAACATCAACCCCTAAAGTTTCCCTCCAAAACAACGTCACTACATCATTTATAATGTACAATTGGCTAGTTCCAATCCCTCGGTTTTCGCCGCCCGGTGGGGAATCGACCGTGTCACAAACATTATATCGGTAGACCTAACACAGTTACACAATTACCCAACTGTATTTGCATCCCCTGGAGAACACCATTATTTGATTGCGTACATTCGATTCCCCCATAAAAACCCGTTGCTCTTTTAAAAAACAAGTTAACATTCCCATTCGGTAAACACGTATTTACACTCGCATACAGATACAAATTAATCGCTTGTTTCAGATAACTATAGCTTGACTTTTTATAATTTTACAGACTACATTATCCAAGAAAACTTGCCATATTGTAAACTGTAGATGTAAATTTAATCTAAAATGACAATTTTAGAACAATCTGAGATTCTAACACTCTTAACAAGCATTCCCATGCAAGGATTCCCAATAATCTCACACGCATCTCACATTTCCCCCTCCCTACCCTAAAGTTCCTAAATCCAAGAAAGCATTCGACTGTCCCTTTTCTATGTTCAAATTCCAATTCCTTAGAAAGTCTCATGAATCCTAAACCTTGGCCTTATTCTGCCACCAGCACAGATTACAAGATTAACCAGAAAGGGGTGGGTTTTTGTCCCGATTACTGTAAACTCCAACATCCCTCTTCAGAACCAGTTGCACAACTGACGCCTGCGACTATAAACAACTGGTTTCATTAATAGCCTCCGCTTCCGTCAATTGCTAGCCTAGACAACCGGCTCCTAGAGCTGTGTAATTAGGACCAATCTCCGAGGCCATTTTCAGTTCTTCGCGGTGTTTTCACGGCCCAGAACGGCCCCGGGTGCTACTGTACGGGTCGAATTTGTGTTTTTATTCGGGCTAAAATCGTGTCGGGTATTTTATGTGGTCAAACATGTGTTCCAGTGGATCACCAAAGTAGATAATATAGTCGTGTTTTGCGTGTTAAATTGGTTGTTTCTTCTTTTCTGTGAACCAACTGGATCAAAAATAGGTATCGTTTTACATAATGGAAGTTCTTTGGTGGGTTGAAGAATGGGTCACCCCCCACAGTTCGTTTTCGATTAATCAAGCATCAACATTCGCGGTCATGATAACTAAATTCTCCTCTTACAATATGTTCGCAACTCTTCCAACCAATAAGCATGGCTCTATCAAAAGCGGAGAGTTTCTTTCCAACTGTTGCTGAAAATACCAAACAAAATATTTACGTAGTAAATTACTCAGATTAACCTTGTGATTATGATTAGCAAATACAGTATGTACGAAAATCGCAATAAGTCGGCTTAAAATTTTCTTTAGATGATCATACTGTATAATATTTCGATCGTATGATGTAGCTTTTGCGAGGGTTTACCTTTTCATCATTCTTTGTATCACTATGCATAGATACGTTGTACCCTGAAGTTGATCGAATGTTTATAGTCTGAACTTGACTTCTGTAATGTACAAATAAAACATTGCGTGGTTTCAAAACAATACCCCATACCATTGTGATTGCCCTCGACTGTACTACCAACGTGGTCTAATACCACCGCACCTGACTTTACCCCGTAATTCCACCCCCAGTGTTCAACAGCACTTTATCATGAGGCTATTGTAAAGCTGTCCACCCCTCTGGAAATGGCCCGAAATGTGGCGTTGGAGCCCCTAAAACCTCCCCTAATTAATCGTCCCTTGCTCTTCTTTCAATAGAGAAGCCGGATCTAGCGAGCGGGTGCAAATTTCTCGAAATCCAGATAAATTGTGAGTTTTGATTGCGGCTGTGCGACGTTAGATAGGCCGGGTATCAATGGCTCAAATGAGGGGAGGTTGAAAAGTCAATCCAGCCTTAAAGTCTTTATCGTCAGAAGCTATTAGAGGGTTCGGTTTGAAACGATCTGTGAATTTGAAGCCGATGTTTCAATAAACGTTTGAAAAGTACCAAATAATTAGATTTAGAGCGTCCTAGAAAAGATCATACTGGTGGTGAAATTTTCATCTTTGACTTTCTTACTTTTCCAAAAATTGTAATACAAAAAATTTATAAATAAAATTAAGAATGGGTAAAAACAAAAGGCTCTCAATGGGTTGAACACATTTATCATTGATTTTACAGTGGTTTAGGACATTAGGTTGTACCAATGAATTTACAATGTGTTACATAGTCAAGGGGTGTACCGATGCTTCTAGGTGTCAAAGTAGGTAACTCACATAGATTTGAACCTCACTGAACGGAGATTCTTGGAAAATTAGTTAAATATTGATGGTTGTAGGCTCCCGCGTACATATCCCTAGAGAGAAGTCTCCATGTTTTGAAGAAACCCATTTCGAACAATAGTTTGATTATTAGCACAAACCTACAATCAACATTCGCCCACCAATTTCGTTTTGCACTCCTTCACTCCGCAAAACATGGTGGGACCTAGCAAAGCCCCTTGCTTCCCTCCAAGTGTCTCTATGGATTTACAGCTACTCGTCGACTCGTCACTGTCTAGTGAAGTACGAGCAGTGATGTCTTATATGAGAGTGAGAGAGACGAAGCAGTAAATCTCCACTGGCGCCTGCTTTCACTGTAGACGGACGTTGGACAACGGACAAGGGTCGCAACAACGATAACTAGCCGAGGATCGCGTAGACGCCACATGGCGGGATTTCGCAGTAGCAATAGTGTTCTGTTCAAAGAAACTATTTTGGACACTTTGAAGATAATTTAACTTTCAACAGGAACAAAGATGTCTGGAGTCTTCCTACTTTAAGAGACCTCATAGAAATGCACAGGAATTAGAAGAGGAGGAGAAACTGTGTGAATTATACAAACATAAGTGTATGATTAGAAAATTATTTTAAAAAATCGTGCGATGATACAGATGTAATTTAAAATGTATACTAGTATCGTTGAACTTAATTGAAGGATCAGGGAGTAGCCTAATACAAGCATCTACATGACTGATATGAAATGTTAAATCGTATTCTCACTAAGGTCATTGAAGATTTAGTATAACACATGCCTTCAACAAAATCAAATTACTAATTAATCAACAAAAGCTGATTAAGCAAATTTTGAAAAAATAGGCATACCAATCCCATCACATATTGAAGTAACACAAAAATAACATAAACATCCCGCAAAGGTAGTACGGAGCTCAGTCTGCTCAAAGCTAGTAATTATCAGAGTAGAAAGGACGAATCAGAAATATATGCCGACTTAGTAATACTGGTATCTATGGGATGAGATTTAAAAGAATTTCAAAATCAAAGAGATTCCTTCTGCGAAGATCCTCCGGATCTTGAAGTTTCAGTCCACCAGGAGAAAAAGTAAGAACTCATCAAACAACAATGTATCAATGATATACAACATATCACTATTAGAACTAAAAGAACTGAACAAAGAGGTTTGCGTCGACCTTCCTCGCTGCATAGTTGAACACTCTTGGAGCGAGTGCAACTGCTTTCTAAACCTGAAACTCTCGACTGCAAAGCTGCAGTTTCAATCGCATCGAACAAATCGAGCGGGACTCTGTGAACCTAAACAATGCCAGTTTGTCCGGTCTGAGGCGTTTCGCGGAATACAAATGGATGTGAACGGACAGACCGCACCGAACCTGCTTCTGCTGCGCCGACGTGGAAAAGAATAACCGTCGGCAAGAGTTCAGAAGGTACTCATTTGAACAAATCTTGAATGAAAAGTCATAGTGTTCAAACCCTATTAACTATTACTGAAAACCACATTAGGTTTGATTATAAGCTGCAAATCATGAAATTAGAATTCTTTTTTAGATTAGACAATAGACGAAGAAAATACCAACTGAGTGTTAAACTAGCAGTTTTGTTAGAGAAAAGCGATACAAATCAATGAATAAAGCCGTAAAAGGTTTTTGTCATGTTGTGGCACTGGAACCCATTCTCAGATCGTATTGTACTAAAATAAGACATAGAAGCAACGTTATTGTTCACATAACATTTCAATTGCAGTATTCTTCGCTAGCACTTCATGACCTTACAAACAACATGAGATCAGAAAAAGCAAGGAAGCAGAGGAAGCTCTCTTTGTTCACGAGAGCAGAAAAAGGACAGTATATTATCTGGAAATATTATTATAGTCACACTCTACAATCGTCATCTTCTGTATGAATAAAAACACAACTATACCACACAAGCTGCACATTTTTCGTTAATTACTATGATAAACCAATCATGCAACAAACTTACATTGAAAAAGGTTCTTCCAAGAGCCGCTGAGGACTCTAAGGCACTTGTTGAGCGCTCCGGAGCCCAGCGGCGGCAGAGAAAGGTCCAAAGGCACTTCTTCACCCACAATCGTCAAATTCCCCTCAGAGTGACTTCTGCTCAGCGTCAACTTGCTCGCACTCAACGGTCTCGTCAAAGAATTCGTGTTGTACTTCTTCTTATCCTTCTTCTCCTGGATCGGCTTCACTTCCATGTCCTCCGAGGACAACACTATTATCTCGTCCTCTTCCACCGGGTCTCGGAAGGACCTGTAGGTGGAAGACATCAGAGGTTCTACGCTGGCCACTTTCTTCTCTTTCTTTGAAGACTTTTTGCTCGGCGATGGCTCTATGGTCGCAACCACCTTCTTCTTGTTGGAAGGCGGAAGTGGCGGAGGCCCAAAACAGGTTGTGGCCATTTTAAAATCGCTGTAAGAAAACAATGTGGGTGGTTTCTTGGATTGGTGTTGTTGCAAGTGGGTTTACAATTACTTGAATAGTGTTTGGCTACTATTTGAGATAATGTTAGGGGTATGCAATTTTACCTCATATTTAATTTATCGGAATTTGGAATTGTCCCCTTGAATGAATTCTACAACCAACACCAGTAATAAGAATCGAGAAGCAGTAATTTAACGGTTGTCTCATTCAAAAACAAAGCTACGACATAGTGTAAATCTGTAAGAACAATCCTAGTCCTTTAGTTTTTTATTTCGCCAAATGGGATAGTTTTATAAGAGCATCTTTTTCTTGAAATAAAACAATTTAATTCCATTGAACAATATTGATTTGCGAATTCCAAGTTTATGAAAACATCAAACCTGTGTCCCTGACTACTTTTCCCCTCACCTTATTCAACCTTCCTGAAACAAACTAATTTCGCACCCTCGTTCTTCCTATCAAATTAAACCTCTCCCGTCGTGCTTTAGGGTAAAACACGATTTAAAATACAATGACAGGAAATAAATTGAAAACTGAAATTCTTAATTCGAGTTTAAAGATCTTCAGAATGGAATATATCTACTAACAAGATAATTGCATAGGCCTACAGTTGCTGACCTAATTTTATTTGTATCTTAAATGTGACACTATGGTTTTATACACACTATAGCTTTGATCTGTTCAACTTGATTCCATACAAACAGGGAACGTACAGTATTCACACAACGTCAAGTCGTGGGACCGCTTGTTAATTAAGTGACTAATTGAGTCCACAACAACTCCGCCACAACGAAGACGCTAACAATCAACTTCAACAATGTACAAGGGCACTTATTGCACTCGTCTGACTATTCTGAACTTTACTGAAACAACAAACATGCCATTTCAATGTGAATACAGCCGTGATAGAAGTAACGTTTGTTTAGTTTTTCCTATGGTAAATACTACAAAGACAAGGAGAATCGGCGCATTCCCTCGACATTGTGCGGACACTGTGTTTTGCAGTATGTATCATTGAAGCTTATATAGAAAAATGTAATACTTGTCCCTTGTGCAAACAATTAATCAACACAGCTCTTCCACAAGAGTTGTTGAGATAATAGAATGGCGCCCAACGTGGGGTCAAAATAACTATAGGAATTAGGTTATTGGGTTAGCGTATCTGTATTCGGTATTCCAGTGATTCAACCGAGTGCCTATCAAACCTATCATGAAATAGGTTCCTAATTCTTTAATGGTCATAGGTAACAAATGAGTGTGTCTGATGCAGGGTGGTCAGAAAATTTTGGCAAAAAAAATTATATGTACTAGAGCAATTCTGAATTTTAACAAACAATTCCGAGATCCAAAAACACTACTTAGTTGACAAAAAAAGCTTACACGCATGGTTGGTTGTCAAAAGAGACGGTGAAAAAATCAGAATAATCAACCAATGTTAAATTGCAACGACCAATTAGAAGGCAACCATCCAATAATAATTAACAACGTATTATTCTACAAGAATCTCATACAGTAGTTACTGACAATCCCAAGATGCACAGCTGGAGTATAGCACCCGTTCCTTTACACGACACCGCCAAGAAGGGTTACCAACCCTCCTCCAGAAAAAAATAAATAACCATATGACACGAGCCGCCCCTCCCCCTGACACCAGCCCGTGCTAAAACACGTGACCGTCCTTACTTCCCCAGCAAGGATGATTAGGTCCCCATGGATTGTAAGATTATTCAGATTGAATTTAAATTGTTATGATTGTGGTAAGTGTGCTTAGGCATAACATGTGTTTTTCATAAGAAACAAATTAAGGTTGGAAATACTTTTGGATTTCATTTATTTTATAAGTAGGCTAGTTCAAAACGAAATTCAGGACTTTTTCCGCGGATTTATGATGAAGAAGGAAAAGTGTCCGGATAAATACCAAGGTAGGTAAGGTATCTAATTACAGCAAAGCTATAACAAGATATTTGTAGGAGACGAAAGAATTTATCCGTATAGAAATAATTGACTAGAAAATATTTGTTTAAGTAAGTGGACAAAGCACATTACTTAAGCATAAAACTTAGAGATACTGTAGTATAATTATGTGAAAATAAATTAAACTGCTTATTAAACGGTTTTATAAAATAATTATGAATAAAAAAGGTAAGCACGTTTGAAACATTTAATTCAACTTTGGTATGACACATTATTTGTTTGCATAAGTCAAATGTTTTAAATTATTTTTACACTAATCCAACCCTTATTCAGAAACACGCTAAATAATTCACGAGCAATTTTCAAAAATACTGTAGTAACAAAATGTTTTCCTTGTCGTTCAACTCGAAAGGCCGTCGACATTTAACCTTCGTTCCAAGAAAGGGATGATTAGGGTGGTGGGGGAGGGGGTAAAAAGCCCATAAAGCTCCCAGCAGGGAGGGCTGGAACTGCACTCACGGTCAGTCCCTGGTCCTAATCCAACTACGGAACTGCACTCACGGTCACTTTGAGCCTTTCTGGAGGTACTGGAACTGCACTCACGGTCAGTTTTTAATTAGCCTATATCACATTGTGCAACACCATGATTGAATTGATTAAAACTTATTAAATTAGTTGAAATATATTGAAAAGTTTTGATTAAATTAATCTAAACGTCAAAAAATAAACTTACTACTGACATTGTAAAAAATACACATATATATGTGCACAGAATATTCTAGCATAGTATTTACGATAACATGATAGGCTATATTCTTATTATAACGAAGCTTCTTTTGTAAAGGTTAGGTTAGGTTAGGTTAGGTTAGGTTAGGTTAGGTTAGGTTTGGTTTGGTTAGGTTAGGTTAGGTTAGGTTAATTATTGTTGTATGTATTGGGACAGACACTAGGTTAGGTTAGGTTAGGTTAATTATTGTTGTATGTATTGGGACAGACACTAAAACGTGATTAAATAAATTATTGGATAAAGTAAGACAGAGGACGGAATAAACAGATGACTAAGGGGGGGTAGCGGATTTTTATCCCCCTGGAATTTTACCCCCTGGGCAAACGTGACGTCACAAACCAGGGGGTAAAATTCCGGCCGCGAACATTTGAGTTTCGCGACATCAGCTCGATGGATTAAACGCGGAATTAAACATATATTTTCACGGTTGTGAGTTTAATCAGAACACATCAAATTAAAAAACCTAGAATGTACGGCCCGGAATTTTACCCCCCGGAATTTTACCCCCGGAATTTAACCCCCCGGAATTTTACCCCCGGAATTTTACCCCCGGAATTTTACCCCCCGGAATTTTACCCCCCGGAATTTTACCCCCTGGCCAGATATAAATTAGTGTGAATGATTAATTATCGTCATTCAGTTTTAATTTAATGGTAAACATTTTATTATTAAGAAGCCTATCTTAATTTATATGTAACATTAACTAATCGCACAGGGTTTTAATATTAATTTTGAGATTCGATTGTCATTGAAGCCAACTGTTGGTTAATATGATCAAAATAAAACAGCGAATTCTGTTTACTCAGTTGAGATTACAAAATAAATAAATAAAGATAAGCTACTAAATAATGAAATGTTTACAATTAATTAAAAACAGAAGTTAAGAAAATCAATCATTCAATTTCTAAAATCAGCCAGGGGGTAAAATTCCGGGGGGTAAAATTCCGGCCCGTACATCTTCAGTTGCCTAAACGCTAGTTATATGGACAGGGGGTAAAATTCCGGTTTTTGTCGCTAATCTAATTAATCACGCTCTGACTATTTTCATTAGACTTCCAAATCCGCGGGGGTAAAATTCCGGCCGCGAACAAACTTTTGGCCACTCAGGTTACTACGTCATAGTGACGTCAGCTTTGCCCAGGGGGTAAAATTCCAGGGGGATAAAATTCCGGCGACCCACTAAGGGGCTAGCGAAGCGTTCAGCCGTGAAAGACCGATTTTTGACCGTGAGTGCAGTTCCATATGGCTTAGGCGAGCTACCCTTCCAACCCTTGTAAATTCCTTTGACCGTGAGTGCAGTTCGTTGTCAGCCTCACAGCATGTGTGTGTGTACTGTAGGCACGAAGTTGGGGTGTTCTAGAATTACATTGTTAGTCAGCTGTTCTTTAACAGCTGTTGAAACACGATAATATTGATAACTGAGACACGAACAGGGAAGAATAATTTAGGTGACTTTTCTCCTAGTTTCATTTCCGTGTCCTAGTGTTAAGTTTATTTGCATAGAAGTAAAAAATATTCGATGGTTTTTTTCTTTTGAAATACTTATCGTGAAAACTCAATAAGATTTACTTTTAATATCTTATTTTCCCTCATAATTTACCTACCATCTTTGAGGTCTAAAAATGGAATCTACTCTGGGTCTTAAATATCTTGAGAAATAGTATACAGATTTTATAAATCAAACAGAAGTGATATATCCATATAAAGTACAAATTTACATTTACTCATACACACAGAATTATTAGTTTTAAACCACTCGTTTTTTTTTTCAAACAAATAATTTGCAGCTAAACATTGAATAATTCAGTATTATTCCAATGTGCCAAATATAATTAAAATTAACTATTTAAATTACTCAAGTATTATGCCCTTCATTTACCTATCAAAACTTTACAAAGTTTCAAATTGATTATAGTTAAAATTTTGAACGACTTTTTAAACTAAAAAAAATGTGACAGTATTTTAGTTCACATTGAAGAAATAACTGACAAAACTTAGTCCCACCAAAAGTACAAGAATGTAAAAATTATGACTGAGAGATGACCAACTATTCAATGTTTTATTGATATCGATTATAATTGGGATGAATACTGTTAAGTTTTACCGCGGCCATACCAAAATATGAGTAATGTAATAGTAATATTACCAATTACCATTACGTCTCCCCTACGTAAGCGTCCAGCTTCAACAGATGTTGTCTACATGGGTACCTTAAACGTGCGACAGCTGGTAACACAGATAAACAAACAACATTTTGTTTGTTTGATTTCCAAAATGTCAGAGGGGGCCTGGGTGTTTGTCTTCCAAATCGATCTGTTTTGGGCATGATCCTAAATTAAATCTATGTGGTTATCGGTTTGACACTATGAACATTTACCGGTAAAATGTTTTGAAGAATCGATAATAATAATTTTCGAGGGAGGTTTAAAAAAATTAAAAATCGAAGAGGTTTTGCGTCACATAATTAATGTAGTTAAAACTCGGTTGTCAAAATTATATTGCTTAAAATATTGTTTACAAGACCTTTAAAAAAAAATAAGACTGCTATGTATCGGATCCTATTTAAAATATTCTTGAACAGCCGTCTATTGATAAACCTAATTTTGGCTATTTTGTCAAACAATAGACAATAACATTTAAACGGTGCATTATTGAGCTACCCAGTATATCCTGGAAATCCCCAAAGGAACACATTCAAAACGTTAAATTAAATTTCAATCGTTACTATTCCGTACAATACATGTTTGAATGAGACAGTAAAATAATTTCAATTTTCCCCTGACAATTTCCCTGCTTCTTTAGTAATTTGGTGATTTTTTAAAATAAAAATCTGTATATTAAGCTAAAATTCCTAAGTTAACTTGATTGGCAAGGGTTTTACACTACTCCAATCGCTTTTCGGTTTAAAAAAAAAATCATTAAAAAAACAAATAGTACGAAGGATAATTTGACATTTTTAAATTAATATATTGCATTTTACATTAAGATTTCTAAAGCCGTATATCATACTTAAAATTGTATGTCGTGTTTTTAACTAGGCATTTGTTACTATTTAAATCAATATTACCGTTTGCCAAAATATCCAATCTCGCAACAACAATGGTAAACAAACTTGCGAACTCAATGTAAACAAACCTTTTTACCACCTGTCACTCCAAGAAACCACACAACAAACTACAAAACCAACACGTTGCTTCAGTTCACACTAATACGCCACACATTTCGCGAATCGATTAAAATAAACAAAGCTACAACGAACGAGATCGATAAAACACAACAGATGTCGAATTGAGGTTATGTCATTGTTGTATCCACGACTCACTAGATCGTTGTTCACTGGTCGACCGACGACGCGCCACTGAAGCGAAGGCATTGGCTGACTGGCACGGCCACTGCCTCCGTTATCGAACGGACATAACCTCAAAGCCAGTACGATCTGTCGCCAGACATAAAGATTATATTAAATGACATGTCAGAGCTCAGAAGAAGCATCGATTACAGTGGCGTTGGCAAAGACTAGTTTTTGTACTAATACTTATAGAGGAACACACCGTAATTGGCTTGTAATTGTATTTATACGTGTTGGATTTATTCTTTAGTTTTTATCGATTTCTATTCTACCTATAGTGGAACCTCGATAACACGAACCTCAATAACAAACGGACCTTTATGACAAGATAAAGTACCCTTAATTTTACATTACTCTCAATTACATGTACTTAGTATTTACGTGTGTCACTTGTTACTGTACAAACCTCAGTAAGAAATAAAAATTACTAAGAAATATTATTTGATAAGAAGACTTATTTTATAATCCCCATGATATACTCGCTATCGAGGTTTTTCTGTACAACGTATGCTTAATACTTTAACGTATTTTACTGTGGACTGTGTACAACAAACAAATTTGTCTAGACACTAAACTGTAAATTTTTTTTGTGTTACGGCACATGACACATGTTATTATTTCAAACATTTATCTTAGAAACCCTAAAGTCGTTGTTTTCAATAGCTTACTACATACAGTACCACCACTTAGCAATGAAGTGCTTACATTCGAACACTTGCATCCAAAAAAACCTCATGCTATGATAAACGTTCAAATTAATTTAAATTGTTATTGTGTCATAAACGGTTCGTTCAATTTCACAAAATGTTGGGTTGATTAATCCTTGAGCCAGTTATGTTTAGTGATATTGTACGAAAGTGTACATCTTCAAGAAATACTGAATGCTAATTTGACGACAATTTTTAAATATTCAACGCAAAAGAACAGAGGACAAACTAAGGAACTCAAATGAGTTGCAGTTTCTGAAATACAAGAAAATCACGCCAATTTTTATACAATAACACATTACGTCTTATGCCCGGTTCTCCCGCTTCGTCCGCAATGTCTACATTTTTTTCATTACAGGTTCACACCTAGGTAATTCTCCACGCTAGACCAGTGAAAGCGAATATAATCAAGCAAAGCGAATTGTACAAGAAACTACAGAACTTGTAGAACGGTAGAGAACGCCTCCGGTAGTTACCCCTGGATACGTGGTGTTTCGTTTGCACACTGGTCTATAGTCTGTATAATGGAACCTGTCAGCAAAAACTTCGCCTACCTAGGACTGACCCGGTACTTAAACAGTAGGCCAGTCCCCTGGTAGACGTAGGATCAGAGACAGGTTGTGGTACCAGAAAACACTACAGTATACCTTTAGCATGCAACGGCAAAATATATAAATATTTTTCAAACAAATTTCAATTTTTAGTCAAATTTTCTAATAGACAATACCGCTGTGCCGGTGTACGAAGTATATAGCCTAATAATAATGTTATCGGGGAAAAGTTCGCAAAATTTACAGTACTTTGTAATGATCGTTCTTCGACTTATAACAATGAGCTGTAGATTCTAGAACAACAATAAGATACTCTAAATAAGATTACTCCAACCCTAGAGAGCGTTGCATTTTATAAAATTTAATTAAATATGTCGAAATTGTTTTTGAACCGCAACTCCAGATAGCGGTGAGTAATTGGTCTACAGTCTGTGGTACATATCAGCATAGATTAAAGGAGTATAGACACTACTTTTATCTATGATAGCAGTAGCGAGACTATACAAAATTCTTCGTTATTTGATAAGTGTTCTGTCCTACTTACAAAAGTCCTACAATCTTTTTCTTTCTTTCAAGGAACAATGTATCGAACAAATAACTCCCTCACAATTTCTTGTTCATAAAATCCTTAAACATTTTTTGTCCTCGAACCATCATAGTTTTGATCAAGAGTTAGCCTACAATATATTGTACTATAATTACAATGATAGAATAAAATGTGTTAAATTCAGGTTTTTTATTATAAAAATGTAAACGGAAACAAAATAAGAGAAAACACAGAGGAAGTTCAGCAGGTGTAAAGAAGCTAGGGATGAAATCAGTTGGAATGTGTCCAGATTCGGGAATCCCGCACAGTGTTGTCAGATCATTTAGGGAAGATATAGAGAAAATGGGTAGAGGGGTAGTGGGGGTGAGGAAACTTCTCGCGCCAGAACAATAATCTACCCCTCGCCGTCCCACAACTACCTGCTACCCTGCAGGAGTGCCAACCGAGAAATGTTGAAATTCCCTGCGACGCGGCACAAATTAAACTTCCTGAAAATATAATAAATAATTTATTAAGGATATACAATTATTGTGACTACTAGCATCTTTTAATCTATGCTACTAGTTAGAGGGAAATAAAGTGAATTATTTGGTGGGAGCTCAATGTTTCAAAACACCCGAGTTTGGTAGTTCCTTTTAAGACGGTGACACACTATCGATCTTTTCCCCGAACAAGACCCCGAACCGAGCAGGGAGAAGGGAGAAGGGAGGTCGAAGGGAGGATGTTCGATAGTGTGTCACGGGTCCGTACACCGATCAAGACGCCGAACAAGACATCAGGCCGAGCAGGGAGACGAGCGCTCTGGAGGCGGTTTTTTGGCGAAAGATCAAAGAAAAGATCGGTCCGATGTACGGTCCGATGTACGATAGTGTGTCACGGTACATTTTTGCCCCGTACATCGTCGCGAGCGCCGCACCGAGCGGCCGCCTGCGCTAGCATTGATAGTTCCGCGCTCTCACTCGCACACACTCTCTATCTCTCTCCAAACTTCCTTTTGCCGCGCTCGGTAGAATTCGTCTGGTCTTGGTCATGTTCGGGGAAATGTTCGGAGTAAAATTTTGCTGATATTTATCTCCCTTCTCCCTTCTCCCTGCTCGGTTCGGGGTCTTGATCGGGGAAAAGATCGATAGTGTGTCACCGCCTTTAAGTAAAGACTTTTACTGTCGTGGCTTATGTTTGAAGTTATATTTCCCAAACTAAAGTAGCCTTCAGTTTAAGTATTCGTAAAACAATTTCATATTCATTAGAATTTGAGACCCTAGATAAATTAGATCTATGAAACAAAGAAATGTCAACCCTTAATAAATGTATCAAGTGCATGAAGTATGAAGGTACTAGAATAACTTCATATCTGTGAAATTTTACTTTTTATCAATCGGTCAATAAAGACATACATTTCGGACGTATTGTAACTATTGTCACAAAGGTAACGTGGAGGAGAACCTGTAATACAACACATCAAAACACTTTATGCCATCATATTCAAAATACTGTTGACTGAAGAGCCAAACCAAATCCCTATGTTACTATTCCAAAATACTTTTCTGAAACATAATCATTTCGTGATTTCTAAAGAAAATCAAGTTTGGGATGGTAGGATTTCTATGGAATGTGCTTATTCCGATTTATACAATACGGACATTATTATGCATTGATTTTGTAGAAGGGTTGAAGGGTTTAATATAGATTTGATAAGGAATGGGAGAATTTCTATCCAAAATAAATCAACATTTTAATATCCCCAAAATACAGCTCTAGAACTAACAATTCAATAAGAATCACATCTACAGTAAAGAATCTTAAGTCCATACCAAGTACTCATCGTGGATCACACAACAACAATTGTCAATAATGACGGTGGACCGGCGAGGGACAATAACAACAATAAAACAACAATAGACAATCACTACATGACATTAGCATCTACTGGGGGTAGGCGTGTAATAACACCCTTAACACCTGGACAGTGAACAAATTGATATGTGCGCTTGAGCACATACAATACCCACGTGCAGCAGACCTACGTGCTCGGCGAATAAATCCTGTTTGTTAATGCACAACTAACAAGTAACTAACTATGTTCCGAGATAATTAAGACTTATTCTTATGCACTTCTTATGTGTAATTGTTGTAAACCAGTAGAAATTATAACAAAAAAATGTTTGAACTTTTACGGTTTCAAAGTTCGAAGTTTGCTCATCAAACTTCAAGAAGATTGTAAGACATAACACTCTAAAGCTATGGAGCAAATATATAGTGAGTATTTTACTGCTTTTCCTGGTTGATCTGCTTAACGCTTCAATTGCTTACCACTTTGGGCCTAGCTTGATAAAGGGCCCATATCTTGCTTTTAAAATCTTTGAATAAAATACACATTAAAACAATTTAAAATAACTTCTTGATCAGCATCGTACGTGTTACTAAATTTACTGAAGTATAAAATACGTCTATTAACGCTTGTAACATAATAATATAATATAACACTTATAAGGTTGACTCACAAGATGTAAATACATATAAACGATGTAAGTGGTGACAGATTTTGATAACTCAAATCATCATCAGACCCAATAGGTGTCTTACCATCTTTTATATGTATTTACCGTCTTATGAGTCCACATTATAAGTGTACATATATGTTACAAGTGTTGTTAGACGTATCTTTATGTACTTTCAGTATACTAGAGTTGTAAAACGTACTGAGTTCTAATCTTTTGTAAAAATTATAATACATTGAAATTGCTAAGTAAGAAATCTACTTAATCTGCTTCAAGTAGGCAAATCCTATTGTCTTGAAAATCGTTTAAAATCTGCAAACTCAATTCTATACATCTATCAAATATAGCAAAGGACTATTGTATTTCGTGACGAACCACACTTTAGGTGAACTTTCATTTAAATAGATACATTTGAAACTTAAATTACCTCCGCTGCAAACCTGCAGACTAAAAAAATTTATATATGAATTTGAACAGAGTGTTTTTGGTTTCTGAGTACATCCAAACGTAAAAAATGTTGTACCAATTGTAAGTTTTTCCATTAAACCTACGGTAATAGTTTATTCCCTATTTGAAAAATTCGCTAAAAACATCCACTGAATTTTTTTAACCTTTCTCAAAGAATATTGACAATTTCTCAACAAAGCATTGCACTCGGTGCACAGTGGGTAAAATCGG